TAGTATGATTAGAGACGTGAATCAGGAGTCCCTAATCACACGCCTGGAGGTGATAACTTGTACTACCTGTGCTAAAACAGGACTGTAGTTCACACACACACACACACACACACACACACACCTATTAGCATACACAAACATACACAGTACATGCACCTACACAGTCATGGACAGAGAGTCTCACACATGAACCCACTAGCACTCAGGCAGATCCATCACCAAGGGCAGATTTGCAGCTCCTCTCACCTGGGCTCATCATTGGTGAGTTCAGACACCTTCAGCTCCTCAGGTTTTCTTCAGGAGACCTCACATCCTGACACACAGAAGCAATATATGGAGACCTGGCCCTTCTACAGACTGTTTTTCCCCTTAACCAGCTCTAGAGAAATGAATCCAATGATAACACTTAATTATTAATGAGAGACTGCAACCAAGTCCAAGTCCACAAATTTCTGGCTAATTAATGACTGCCCGTTGGGGAGTTGTGGGTCCAAGAGCCAGAAGGGACTGGAATCCTAGGGGACAGTGTCCCTGATTCTAGTGATGCCCTGATGCCTTTCTTCTTGGGCATTATTCCAGCTAGGACAAAGGATTTTCAACCTAACATTATAAATTATTTTAAACATAGAGAAAAATTGTAAAATGCCATATAGGGTTGGAAAAAGTAAGTTTCCAGTTATGAGTATGCAAAACAGTTTATTCACATAGTAGAGGCCTGATGCACAAACATTCATGCAAGAATAGGTCTTTCTTCCCCTGGCTGCAGGCGCTAGCTTCCCTCTGGCACCCAGGACCTGGGCTGCTTTGCTCCTGCTGCTGCTAGGCACCCAGGTCCCGGATTGCTTCACTTTGGCTGCCGCTGCCATCCAGGACCTGGGCTGCTTTGCTCCTGCCAATGCCAGGGACATGACACCCGACACCTGGGCTGCTTTGCTCCAGCCACCTCCAGGCATCTGGGACCGGAGCTGCTTCTCTCTGGCTTCTGCCATCACCCACCAGGGGCATGCTGCAAGCCACGCCGCAGTCGCTCTGAGCACGCTCCCAGCCCTGGTGTATGTCTGCTCAAAAACACTTGTCTACACATATGCAAATCATAAGTAACACACTAAGTGAGACATGCAGGGGGTGACCACTTGGAGCATGCCCCACCCCTGGTGTGTGTCCGTTGGGGCTGGGGGTGGCATGCAGTCCCCTCCTGCCCATCTGTGCGCACAGCTCCTTCTGAGAGAGAGTGATGCAGCCTCCTCCTAAGCCAGTTGTGATGCCCAGCTAATTTGCATATCACCTGTTTTTATATATATTTTATTATTATTGTATTATTTTTCATGCTAACATACACACAGAGAAAACCAAACACATTCTCTATCTCTCTAAACATACTTTTGCCCTAACTTATAATTGGCTAATGAAGTATCTGCCAGGAAAGTTACTATTTTTTTAAGTTACTATTCTAACCTTGTAATTAGTAGATATCATTTTGGTAGATATTTTGATACTATGCAAACATAACATTTCCTTTACTAAAATTTCAACTCACTATATTTGACATCCATTGGTGATTCTTATATTAGAAAATTATTGCAAATGTTGTTGTCAAATTGTGATATTATAATTCCACTGGAGGCCCTGTTCATGAAATGCGTGCACTAGTAGGGTCCCTAGCAGGTGCCAGCTGCCAGCCAGTACTCCCTCCTTTCCCCCAGCTGCTTGTTGCCACTGCCACTGCCACCAGTTGGGGCCTCCCTTCATTTCCCATTGCTTGCTGCAGGCCAGGGCTTCCCTTTCTTCCCCTGGCTGGCCTTGACCCCTGGTCAAACTCTTATCTGTCAAGGGGACAATTTGCATACTATGTTTTTATTATATAGGACTATAGGCCTGGTGCACAAAATTCATGCACTGAGGTGGGTGGGGAGTGTCCCTCAGCCCAGCCTAAACACTCTCCAATCTGTGACCCCTCGAGGGATGTTCGACTGCCACCAGGATCGGGTCTAAACGGGCAGTCGGACATCCTTCTCACAATCCAGGACTCCTGGCTTCCAACTGCTTGCCTGCTTGCCTTCCTGATTGCCCCTAACCACTTCTGCCTGCCAGCCTGATCACCCCCTACCAACTCCCATGCCAGCCTGACTGATGTCTAACTGCTCCCCCACCAGCCTGTTTGCCCCCAATTTCCCTCCTCTGTCAGCCTGTCATCCCAACTGCCCTCCCCTGCAGGGTTGATCACTTCTAACTGCTCTGGTCCATCTCAACTGCCTTTCCTTGCAGGCCTGGTGCCTCCCAGATGCCCTTCCCTGCTGGCCATCTTGTGGTGGCCATCTTGTGTCCACATGAGGGCATCTTGTGTGTTGGAGTGATGGTCAATCTGCACATTACTCTTTTGTTAGATAGGCTAGAGGCATCTTGTGTGTTGGAGTGATGATCAATCTGCATATTACTCTTTTATTAGATAGGCTAGAGGCCTGGTGCATGGGTGGTGGCCAGCTGGTTTGCCCTAAAGGGGTCCCAGATCAGGGTGGGGGTTCTCTTGGGGCCTGGGGTGGCCTGAGTGAGGGGCCTGTGGTGGTTTGCAGGTCAGCCATGCCCTCCCAGCAACCCAAGTGGACACCCTGGTATCTGGAATTTATTTACCTTCTGCAATTGAAACTTTGTAGCATGGAGCAGAGTCAAGCCTTCTCCTTGCTCTGTAGCTGCCACCATTTCTGTTTGGATTTGTTTACCTTCTGTAATTGAAACTTTGTAGCCTTGAGAGAAGGCCTAGGCTGGCCAGGGCAGGTGGAAAGCTTAACTTTCTCCATTTCCAGGGACAACCCTAGCCTGTTCTCTCCAGCTCTGTGGCTGCCTCCATTTTTCTTGGGATTTATCTTCTATAATTGAAACTTTGTATCCTTGAGTGGAGGCCTAGGCTGGCCAGGGTGTGTGGAAAGCTTGGCTTCCTCTATTGTCGGGGGAAACCCAAGCCTCTCAACTGCTCTCTGTGGCTGCAACCATCTTGGTAGGGGTTAATTTGCATACTCGCTCTGATTGACTGGTGGGCATGACTAGTGGATGTGGTTGGTTTGCATGGCTGATGGGTATAGTGGAGTAATAGTTAATTTGCATATTATTCCTTTATTAGGTAGGATTATTTCTTCTTGATTTATTATTTGTACTCTCTTATAAGAAGAAAATTACTGTTTTTCCACACTCATTAGTTTTTTATTTATTTACTAGAAGCCTGATGCATGAAATTCATGTAAGAGTAGGCCTTCCTTCCCCTGGCTGTTGGCACTGTTTCCCTCTGGCACCCAGGATCAGGGACCTGGGCAGTCAGACATCCTTAGCGCTGCCTAGGAGGCAGGAGAGGCTCTCACCACCACCCCTGCTCTCACAGCCATTAGCCCAGCTTGTGGCTAAGTTGAGTACCCCCTGTGGAAGCACACTGACCCCCAGGGGGCAGCTCCTGCATTGAGTGTCTGACCCCTGGTGGTTATTGCACTTCATAGTTACTGGTAGTTCTGCTGTTAGGGTTAATTTGCATATTGTTATTATGGACTCATAGATTCTTATTCTCTAAGTTATAATCATTAATCATTTATTATTCATTTTGAAACTTTATTTCTGCCATCCCCTGCAGACCTGGTCCCCCCAACTTCTCTCCCCTTCAGGCCTTGATCCTCCCCCCCGCCCCCCAACTGCTCTTCCCTGCAGGCCTGGTTGTCCCCAACTTCCCTCCTCTACCAGCCTGGTCACCCTTAAGTGCCCTCCCCTGCAGGATTGATCGCCCCCAAATGCCCTCCTTTGCAGGCCTGGTCCCTCCTAATAGCCCTCCCCTGCTGGCCATCTTTTTGTGGCCACCTTGTATCCACATGGGGGTAGTCATCTTTCACCACATGGGGGAAGCCATCTTGTGTGTTGGAGTGATGGTCAATTTGCTTATTATTCTTTTATTAGATAGGATTAGATAGGATAGAGGCCTGGTGCATTGGTGGGGGCTAGCTGGTTTGCCCTGAAGGGTGTTCCAGATCAGGGTGGCAGTTCCTTTGGATTGTGGAGTGGCCTGAGTGAGGAGCCTGTGTTGGTTTGCAGGCTGGCCATGTCCCCCAGCAACCCAAGTGGAGGACCTGGTATCTGGGATTAATTTATCTTCCATAATTGAAGCTTTGTAACCTTGAGTGGAGCCAAGCTTCCTGCTTGCTCCGTGTCTGCAGCCATTTTGTTGGGATTTATTTATCTTCTATAATTGAAACTTTGTAGCCTGGAATGGAGGGCCTGGCCAGCCAGGGCAGGTGGAAAGCTTGGCTTCCTCCATTGCCAGGGAAACCCAAGCCTCACTCTTGTTCTCTTTGTTGCTGCAGCCATCTTGGTTGAGTTTATTTGCATATTCGCTCCTGATTGGCTGGTGGGTGTGGCTGGTAGACTTGGCTTGCATGTATAGCAGAGGTGTGGTCAATTTGCATATTACTCTTTTATTAGATAGAATGTTACCCCAGTTGACTCAACTGGAATAAAAAACACACAAAAAGACATGAGAATCCTAAATATATAGGTACCTAATGACAGAGCTTTAAAATGCATAAGCAACACAACAATGTGGATTTACCTAATGCTGTTGAACTGTATACTGAAAAATGGTTATAATGCAAATTGTGTATTTTAACACAATAAAAAAAACTACTTGAAGAAAAAAAAAATTCCCCAGGAGGGAATCATGTCGCAAAAATCAGTGTCCTCAAAATCATAGTATAAAAAATATATAAACAAAAATGACATATCTCAAAAGCAGATCCGTAGGTATAATTCTGCAGTGTATTTTGCATATATCTTATAAGACATGATAGACAAGCAAAAAATAACAATGAATTATTAACAATCCAATTAGCAAATGTGACCTAGTTGACATATTACAACACTTGTACATGACAATAGAATGTATATTATATTAATGCTATATGGAGATGTCAACCATAAATAATTTTATATCTATTTCCCTGTGCTTCTGATTGCAACAAGGGGATTTAATGATTGTCACTTTAAAAAGTTAACTCTATTCGTACACATCTCTAGGGCCTGTTTTATATCTCTGTTCCTTAGGCTGTAGATGAAAGGGTTCAGCATGGGGGTAACTACTGCATACATGACTGAAGCAATTATGTCCTTGGAACCCCATGATGAGGAGAAAAAGTAAATACCAGCAAGTGTCCCATAGTATAAAGACACAACAAAGAGATGGGAGCCACAGGTAGACAAGGCTTTAGAGATTCTCTTAGCAGAGGGCACCCTCAGGATAATAGTTGCTATACAAATGTATGAGCCCAAAACAATGCTCAATGGCAGGAAGTAAAGCATACCTCCCTCAATGAAGATGACCAGATTATTGAGGGAGATGTCTGAACAGCTCAGCTTCAGGAGTGCTGTGAGCTCACAGAAGAAGTGAGTGATGCTATTTTCAGCACAGAAGGACAGTCGGACCAAGAGGAGGGTATGAGTAAGAGCATGAACACAGTTAACCATCCAGGATCCAGCCACCAGCAACGTGCACAGTGCCTGACTCATGATTGTGGAATAGTGCAAAGGGTGACAGATGGCCACGTACCTGTCATATGCCATCACAGCCAGAAGAAAGTTGTCAAGACAACCAAAAAGTATAAAAAAATACAACTGAGAAACGCATTCCACATAGGAGATGGATTGTTGCCGAGTCTGCATGTTCATGAGCATCTTAGGGACAGTGACAGAGGAGAAGGATACGTCAGTGAGGGCCAAGTGGCTGAGGAAGAAGTACATGGGCGTGTGTAGGCGGGAGTCCAGCCTGATGAGCAGGATGATGAGCAGGTTGCCCAGCACCGTGGTCAGGTACATGCCCAGGAACAGGGTGAAGAACACGCCCTGCTGCCCTGGTGGGATGGGGAGCCCCAGGAGGAAGAACTGGGACACACTGCTCTGGTTCTCAGGCCTCATGCTGCTCCTCTGTCTGCTGGGGATGAAGAAGGATTAGGAGTCTCAGGCACCTAGAAAGGAAGATCAGAACCATCACATCTCATACTATCATTCTCTAAGAAACATATTCATTTTTAAATAGTTTCATATTCCCCACACCTATGGATTTATATTTCTTCCCTCTCTCACAGTCTGGCTCCTGGAAAACATTGAACCTTAAAGTAGTCCACAAGACCTCATCATACAGTAGCAAGAAGGGGTTCTCTGTTTTATTCAACCGTTACTTTTAACATCACATCTGTGTCAGGATCTCTACTAAAAATTGAGATGTAGCAGTGAACAAGAAAAGCAAGGTCTGACTTCTATGAAATTAGATCTTGATGAGCATGGAGGGATAATTTCTACACCAGCCCAGAGATAATTTCTACACCAACCCCTATAATATAATTCACTGTGGCAGAAACAGAAGATGAGCCCCAGAAACTAATATCAGTTGTTGGTGTATTGAATTAATGTGAGACTTCAGAGATGAGTTGGAGTTCTCAAAGCATTTTCACACTCCTCCTGAGAACCCTCCAGAGAGTCCCTCTGGCTTACAGCTGGAAACTCAGACACTATCAAGTGGGTGGCCACTTAAAACCAATTGGTGCCAGAATAGCTCTGAAACTGTCACAATATGGTTGAACATTAAGGAGAACATTTGGGTACTTGCCTAAGGACCTCACCTACATTTCCTAATTAAATCCACACATCAACCTGACATTACCAGATTTTAAAACCTCCTCACAGCTTCAGCAAGAAAAGGTGTTTTTTCACCTATTTTAGTTTTTAAGAAACAAAAACATAAATTATACAATTTTTAGGCCCACATCAATGTAGGAAATAGAAGGGCAGATGTGTATGTATCTATATGTATAATGTATGTAATATGTAAGTATATAACTTGCTAGATATATTATCATTTCCTATATAATAAAAATCACCAAGCATTAGCTACTTCATGGGGTTTGGTATAATATGTCTGTGTGATCAGAACCTATGATTTTAACATTACACATAGAAACTTCACTTGCTTAGTGGAGCCATGCACAATGTATTACTTTGGAGCTCTGAGGACTCAAAGTTGTCCAAAATTCTGAAACCTCTTACTAGATAATTTTATTCCTTTAGATTTATATACCTTCCAACTGACAAAAAAATCTTCAAATATATTAACTTTATATACACAATAACTTTTACTGAGAACCTCAGTATCATTCATGAAACAAGTGAAATTCTTTCCATTTTATAAATGTGGAAACTAAGACCAAAAGTTTAAGTAACTTGCACAATGTCTCTCTGATATTTAATGGTAATTTTATTTTATTCAATAATTTCATACAGCATGATGTCCTGACATTTTTTTCCCTGGGATATTTCATAAAAGTAAAGAAGAGGTTGCAAAAACTCAGGAACTCAGTCCCACTCAGATACATAGAAATAAGAGCAGATTTGTTTCAGGAAACCAGGAGTTGCTTAGAGTGGGGCTATCTCAGCTAATGGTGCCACAGAAGGAGGAAAGGTAAAGACATATGTGATTTCTGACACCCATAAATAAGTGTGTGCGTGCATGTATACACACACACACACACACACACACACACACACTGCTGATGTGAGGATTCTAGTCACCTCTGCCCATGTTCCCATCTTAAGGGAAGAATAGACAATTTGTGGTTCAGCTCAAAAACACTTGTCTACATACATACAAATCGTAAGTAACACACTCAGTGAGACATATGCAACATACAATGGATCACCCACTCAGAAACATACTAACACAACCTGACTCAGGACTCATCTCATAAATGCTCAACTTACTGCATATACATAACATAAGCACTGTACACACATCACCAAAAGCACACAGACCACAACAATTAGAAAAAAATCACAAGAGTTGGCCAGTATAGCATTGACCTATGAACCAGAAGGTTACAACTCTATTCTCAGTCAGGGCACATGCTAGGGTTGTGGGCTTGATACCCAGTGGGGGGAGACATACAGGAGACAACTGATAAATGATTCTTTCTCATCATTTGTTTCTATGTCTCTCTCCCTTTTCCTTCTTCTCTGAAATCAATAAAAAATATATGTATTTTTTAAAATTTCACCAGAAGCACTCACCACAACACATATGGACACCCAGCCACATACTCACTACAAGTAGCATACACCCTCCTATAACAGAGAGGCAGGCTTCCACCTTTATAGCCATCCCCTTCCCAGGGACAGGTGTCTACTTGGTGCAGGGAAGCCTATCCAGTCACAGGCAGTCATTAAACCAGCAACGACATCCAATGCACCTGGTCACATAAACATGATAACATACACACAGAGAAAATCAAACAAAACCCTTTAATCTCTCACACACAAGTGTGTCACCCACAACACAGCTCCCAGGTGCACCAGCACATGCTGCTGAGCAGGAGGTCTGAGCTCTCTCTGAACTGACCTTGGTTCCTGGTAAGATCGGGCATTTTCTTGTTCTACAGCAGAAACAACAGTCTCACTCTTGATTCTTAGCTGTGATGCCAGTGTTTTTCGATGACAGGCATTACTGAGGAGTCCCCAGTCAAACACCAAGAGGCTGATAACTTGTTCTACATGCATTAAAACCAGGCTGTGTGTCAGTTATATATTATAGCATACTCATACACACAAACACACTCATGCAACTATTAAATAGCATGTGCACAACCATATACAATACACACATACATACATAATCATGGACATAGAGTCTCACACATGAACCCACTAGCACACAGGCAGATCTGTAGCCAAGTGCAGATTTCCAGCTCCTCTTACCTGGGCTTGTCATGGGTGAGTTCAGACACCTCTTCTCCAGATTATTGCCCATCTCCTCAGGTTTTCTTCAGGAGGCCTAACATTCAGACACACAAAAGCAATATCTGGGGCCTTGGCACTTCTTCAGATGTTCCTTTATCTTAACTAGCTCCAGAGAGTTGAGTTCAAAGGTAACACTTAACTGCTAATGAAAGACTGCAAGCAGGTCCCCAAGCTTGTGGCTAATTTCTAACTGCTCTTTAGGGAGCTGTGTGTCCAAGAGCCAGAGGGACTGGAGTCCTAGGGGACAGTACCCCTGATTCTAGTCATGACCTAGATTTCTTTGTCCTTGGGCATTGCTCCAACTAGGAAAAACTTTTTTCAGTTTTTTATTTTGAAATGATTTCAAAGATATGTAAAAGTTGTGAAAATGATATCAAGAATTCCTGGACAGGTTTCTGCCAGATTCCCTAATAGTTTACACTCTCTCTCTCTCTCTCTCTCTCTCTCTCTCTCTCTCTCTCTCTCTCTCTCTCTCTCTCTCTGTCTCTCTCTGTCTCTCTGTCTCTCTCTGTCTCTGTCTCTCTCTGTCTCTGTCTCTCTCTGTCTCTCTGTCTCTCTCTGTCTCTCTCTCTCTCTCTCTCTCTCTCTCTCTCTCTCTCTCTCACACACACACACACACACACACACACACACACACACACACTGAGTGGCCAGATTATTATGATCTTTAAATGTATAATAATCTGGCCACTCAGTGTATATTCTATATAATAAAAGGCTAATATGCAAATTTTCCCCTCGACCAGGAGTTCGACCAGCAGGCAGACCGTTCAACCACCCATGTCCCCTCCCCTTTGGATCCCACCCATGCATGAATTCATGCACTGGGCCTCTAATATATACAGTATATATACACATTGAGTGGCCAGATTATTATGCATTCAGAGATCATAATAATCTGGCTATTGTGTGTGTGTGTGTGTGTGTGTGTGTGTGTGTGTGTGTATACACACACACATAGTGTTCCAGACTTTGATTTTCAGCATATATCAATATACCACAGTGTATATTATTAGAAGGCTTATGATATTAATTTTTCTAATAACTAGTGTTTTTATTTTTGATCAGTTGGCTAAGATAGTATCTGCCAGGTTTTATACTATATATTACCATTTTTAAAAGATACTCTTTTAAGTTTGTAATTAATAGGTACTATTTAGTAGTTATTTTGTTACTATTGATATAAACATAACATTTTTCTTATTAAAATCTCACCTACTATTTTTCACACCTACTCCTGATGCTTATATAGCAAATATGGTGGTATACTGGTGATTTTTTAGTTATATAATTTTTTCTTTATTAGTTGTATTCTTTTCTTTTTATGAAAAAATTTGATGTTGACATTATTGCAAATTCCCCCTTTTTTCCCTCTTTGCCCACGTCTGTTATCCTCTCCCCCCCCTTTTTCCTTCATTACACTATTGTACATGTCTATGAGGTATGTAAATGTGTTCTTTAGCTAATACTTCTTTATCTAGTCACCCCAAGCTTTCTCACCTCGGGTTTCTGCCTTTCTGTTCCATTTTGTTCATAAGTTTATTTCTTCATTAGATTCCACATATTAGTGAGATCATGTGATATTCATCTTTCTCTGACTTGCTTATTTTGTTTACCATAATTCTCTCCAGGTTGCAAAGGGTAAGAGTTCCTACTTTTATACAGCCATGTAGTATTCCATTGTGTAAATGTACCACAGCTTTTTAACCCACTCATCTGCTGATGGGCACGTGGGTTGTTTTCAGTTCTTAACAAATTTAAGTGGTGTTGTATTGAAAATAGGGGTGCATATATTCTTACTGATTGTTGTTTCGGGATTCTTAGGATATATTTCCAGAAGAGGGATCACTGGGTCGAAAGGCAGTTCCATTTTTAATTTTTTGTGTGAAAACTTCACACTGTTGTCCACAGTGGCTGCACCAGTCTGCATTCCCAGCAGCAGGGCCCTGAGGTTTTCTTGCCTCCACAACCTTGCCAGCAGTTGTTTGTTGATTTATTGATATGAATCATTCTGGCAGGTGTATGTTGATATTCATTTATAAGATGGAACTTATCCTTATTTCATACTCATTTCTTACTTATTCATTTATATCATTACGGATACATGGATTATTATTCTCTGAGTTATA